TGGAGTATGCTACCACTATTATGCATCTGTTTCTCTAAAGGAGTGAAGTATGCTACCACTATTATGCATCTAATTCTCCAAAGGAGTGGAGTATGCTACCACTATTATTCATCTCTTTCTCCAAAGGATAGGAGTATGCTACCACTTTTGTTCATCTCATTCTCAAAAGGAGGGGAGTATGCTACCACTATTATTCATCTTGTTCTCCAAAGAAGTGGAGTATGCTGCCACTATCATTCGTCTAGTTCTCAAGAGGAGTGGAATATGCTACCACTTTTATGTATCTCTTTCTCAAAAGAAGTGGAATATAGTGCCACTATTATTGATCTCTTTCTTGAAAGGAGTGGAGTATGCTACCACTATTATTGATCTCTTTCTCTAAAGAAGTAGAGTATGCTACCTCTATTATGCATCTCTCTCCAAAGGAGTGGAGTATGCTACCACTATTGATCATCTCTTTCTCTAAAGGAGTTAAGTGTGCTACCACTATTATGCATCTCTTTCTCTAAAGGAGTGGAGTATGCTGCCACTATCATTCATCTCGTTCTCCAAAGGAGTGCAATTTGAATATATTTGTTCTTGACCTTCAGATACTTCCTATTTAAAAGTTCTAACTTATTCTGTCTCATATATACTAGTACCAGGAATTTTTTTTAAAAGCTTAACAGTGTACAGCAGCACCTGAAATCATATGCTCATTTTAACATGAAAGCTATTATATGTGTTAGTATTTTATACCATTCTGATGCTAGCTATATTGAAGGTACCTAGTTATTGCCTATATAAAAAATCAAAGCATTTCATAAATTGCCATGCAGATAATTTATTTAATTGAATAATTTATTTAATTGGATATCAAAAATTATTTAATTAATTTTGAAAGCTTATAATGTTTAAAACATTAATTTCTATTTCTGACAAAGTTTAGGACATTGTTTGTCTGTAATTACAACACTTATATGTAAGTGTCCTGTAGTTGTGATATATGTAACCTCTGCTTACAGCTGTTTCATATTGTCGCTCGATTTCCGTTGGGAGTCTGAAGTCTGGGTTTTTACTTTTTTCCACCTAATGACCAACAAAAAAGGTAAAGGCTGTTTAATCACATCATGATCCACTTAATTATTGTGTTTTTTGTTTACTATAAAACCGGAAAACAACTTTTAACCAGACAGACTTAGCTGGAAGCCTTTGTTACATTAGAAGGATATGTTAAGAGCCAAGATGGAATTTAATTGAACTTAATTCTGGACCATTGACCTAAAGATATAGATTAATTTATGTTTTGTCTGTTGTAAAGTACTCTTGTTTTTTAAATCTGACATCGGGCCCAAAGGGTACAATGTGAGCTATTCCCATCTCTTAGTGTGTTTTGTCTGTCGTTTATTATAAATTTGTGCTAAACTTTAAAACAAAAATGTCTTCTGAGTCCACTGTTCAGAGTACAACAGTTCTTACAATCTTCCTATTGCTCTTTAGTTATAAAAAATATTTAGTATTCTTTTCAACGAAATGTCATATCACCTATTACTGTACATAGAACATATTGATGACACTCCCATTTTCATAAATTGCCATGCAGATAAGCACCCTTTGATTACCTAATTTGGGTAAATTGGTCCTTTCATGCATAAGGACTCCTACAATGCAACCAATATATGGCCACTATTACTATAAACAGAAATTAACTGAAAGATATCTTTAAAATTTAAAACCGCTGTGTCATATTAAATTAGGCCTGATTCAATCCAACATAGTCCAATGGCGTATTTATATATTGATGATACAACCATCAAGGTCAGTGTAACTATGAAAGGTACCAGTCTTGTATTACAACTCCAGTTTCCGGTGCATGTCAAAACATGGCGTGAAATAAAATAGTCCATTTTTTTCCGAATTTTTTTCAGGACTCAATTTTTTCTGTTTGATTAAAAGTTTATGCTGAGTTGAAACATATATTTAGATTTAAAAAAAATCTTGCATCTTTTTGGGGATATCAAACCAGGAAAGTGGAAGGATATCATGTTTACTGGAAGTGGTGCGGCCTAGTAAAAACAGCAAACAGAAAGTAGAAAAAAGTTGTTTTGACTTCAGGGTTACATAACTTTTTATTCTCCGTGGCATGACCCACTTTTTTTTTGATTAAATCACAATTTCACATTACTACATACATGATATGCACATGAAAAAAAATTTCTATGTAGCATTTTATTTTTAAAAAATTTCAAAGATCAGCTGTTTTGCATGTAAGCCTATGGAGCAGTCAATTACAAGACTGCAACCTGAATAGAACAATGATGAAAATTCCCAAATATTGATTGTCCTATACACATGTACAAATTTACCTGACTCTACTCAAAATGTTTTCTTTTTCATTTAAATCTTATTATTTTCCTGAAAAAAGGATTTCACCACTTTGATATTAAACAATATCAAAGTGGTGAAACCATAATGATTATTATACATCTACAATGAAGAAGGGTTATATAGTTTTTGTCCTGTCTGTCCATCTGTTAGACTTGTCAGTCAATCTGTTAGTCTGACAGTCCATCAGTCATCTTAGTTTATTGAGGATAAATGAAATACTTTGAATTCGATTGCACATTTACTTGGTTATAAGGTGAAATATAACGAGCAGAAGATTCCTATTGATTTTGAGATCACTATGTCTAAGGTTTAGGTAATTTCTAGATCTACCATACATAAACCAAGATGAATGAAGAAAAGGTTTTTCCTAATAAATACTCTAGATCACTATGTCTAAAGTTTAGGTAATTTCTACTATACATAAACCAAGATATGTGAAGAAAAGGTTTTTCCTGGTGAAAACTCTAGATCACTATGTCTAAGATTTAGGTAATTTCTACCATAAATAAACCAAGATAAGCGAAGAAAAGGTTTTTCCTGGTGATTACTCTAGATGACTATGTCTAATGTTTAGGTAATTTAACCATAAATAAACCAAGATAAGCGAAGAAAAGGTTTTTCCTGATGATTACTCTAGATGACTATGTCTAATGTTTAGGTAATTTCTACTATACATAAACCAAGATAAGTGAAGAAAAGGTTTTTCCTGGTGAATACTCTAGATCACTATGTCTAAGGTTTAGGTAATTTCTACCATAAATAAACCAAGATAAGCGAAGAAAAGGTTTTTCCTGGTGATTACTCTAGATGACTATGTCTAATGTTTAGGTAATTTCTACTATACATAAACCAAGATAAGTGAAGAAAAGGTTTTTCCTGGTGAATACTCTAGATCACTATGTCTAGGGTTTAGGTAATTTCTACTATTTTATACATAAACCAAGACAAGTGAAGGAAAGGTTTTTCCTGGTGAATACTCTAGATCACTATGTCTAAGGTTTAGGTAATTTCTACTATACATAAACCAAGATAAGTGAAGAAAAGGTTTTTCCTGGTGAATACTCTAGATCACTATGTCTAAGGTTTAGGTAATTTTTACCATAAATAAACCAAGATAAGCGAAGAAAAGGTTTTTCCTGGTGAATACTCTAGATCACTATGTCTAGGGTTTAGGTAATTTCTACTATTTTATACATAAACCAAGACAAGTGAAGGAAAGGTTTTTCCTGGTGAATACTCTAGATCACTATGTCTAAGGTTTAGGTAATTTCTACTATACATAAACCAAGATAAGTGAAGAAAAGGTTTTTCCTGGTGAATACTCTAGATCACTATGTCTAAAGTTTATGTAATTTCTACCATAAATAAACCAAGATAAGCGAAGAAAAGGTTTTTCCTGGTGAATACTCTAGATCACTATGTCTAAGGTTTAGGTAATTTTTACCATAAATAAACCAAGATAAGCGAAGAAAAGGTTTTTCCTGGTGAATACTCTAGATCACTTTGTCTAAGGTTTAGGTAATTTCTACTATACATAAACCAAGATAAGTGAAGAAAAGGTTTTTCCTGGTGAATACTCTAGATCACTATGTCTAAAGTTTATGTAATTTCTACCATAAATAAACCAAGATAAGCGAAGAAAAGGTTTTTCCTGGTGAATACTCTAGATCAATATGTCTAGGGTTTAGGTAATTTCTACTATTTTATACATAAACCAAGACAAGTGAAGGAAAGGTTTTTCCTGGTGAATACTCTAGATCACTATGTCTAAGGTTTAGGTAATTTCTACCATAAATAAACCAAGATAAACGAAGAAAAGGTTTTTCCCGGTGAATACTCTAGATCACTATGTCTAGGGTTTAGGTAATTTCTACTATTTTATACATAAACCAAGACAAGTGAAGGAAAGGTTTTTCCTGGTGAATACTCTAGATCACTATGTCTAAGGTTTAGGTAATTTCTACTATACATAAACCAAGATAAGTGAAGAAAAGGTTTTTTCCTGGTGAATACTCTAGATCACTATGTCTAAGGTTTATGTAATTTCTACCATAAATAAACCAAGATAAGCGAAGAAAAGGTTTTTCCTGGTGAATACTCTAGATCACTATGTCTAAGGTTTAGGTAATTTTTACCATAAATAAACCAAGATAAGCGAAGAAAAGGTTTTTCCTGGTGAATACTTTAGATCACTATGTCTAAGGTTTAGGTAATTTTTACCATAAATAAACCAAGATATGTGAAGAAAAGGTTTTTCCTGGTGATTACTCTAGATGACTATGTCTAATGTTTAGGTAATTTTTACCATAAATAAACCAAGATAAGCGAAGAAAAGGTTTTTCCTGGTGATTACTCTAGATGACTATGTCTTATGTTTAGGTAATTTTTACCATAAATAATCCAAGATAAGCGAAGAAAAGGTTTTTCCTGGTGATTTCTGTCGAATCTTACAACCTTACACGGGATTGGAATGAACTTGTATAAATGTTAACATTAAAGGGTAGGGAGATCCCTATAGATTTTGTATCTCAATATATATGGCATTGATTGTAAGTTTGCATGCTAAGGTCATTTATTTGAAAAGTTGGTTTGTATATTAAATCAAATTAATTGTGATTTTTATTGTACTTCAGAATTTGTCCTGTGCTTGTTAGAAGAAGATTGTGAGAACTACAAGGCAAGAATCCAAAATGAGGTATTTGAAATATAGGTTTGTTTGCATGACATAAAAGGCCATATAGCTGCCAAATTTATCTCCACCCGAAATTCTCATATTTGATTTATACTATACTAAAATAGATATCACAATTACAAAATTTTAGAACTGTAGCTATCAAGAAAGGGTAAATATTGTAGTCAAAGGGGTAAAGTGGTAGAATCTATTTCTCTAATGATGTAATGGAAACTCCCGGGTGCAATGTTCCAAATGGATATGACACAAAATTACAGGAGACAAATTTAATCAACGTGAATTATCAAAATTTATCAAACTGGTTAGAACCAGTTTAAATGCATACAGAATAAGAAAAAGTGAGATATTTGATTAGCATCAATTTGGGTTATGAACATCTAGATGTCACAGTGTATCAATAAAAGGCAATATGTGGTATACCTCTGTGAGACTCAGCAAAACAATTAAACTCCCAATAAATATCGAAAGGTCAACACAGGGTGTTTTAAAATAGACCTAGAATATATGTCTTAAAAAGCCGGAGTCAAGTCAGTTGTAGCCTAGAGTTCAAACACTTACAAAATAAATGATAAAGACCTCCAAAGATGAAAATTCTAATTATTTATTAGACAAAAAACTTCCAATACCAACACTATTAAGATTGCTGATATGGGACAGACATATGTGGCAGGGTTTAACAGTTTAAACCTACCTCCTTTTCATATCCCCTTGATGGAGTCAAGATTTAAGACTTAGCTGCAATTTGTTAAAGTTTAGATTAGATCAGTTTAAGGGGAACCACTAATGGTAAACCAATGATATTTGGTATGCAGTTGTATAAGCAGTGGCACATTTCATTTCCATGGAGATTATTTGACCATGCCTCCTTAGTCATGGTCTATTGAGTTTGAACCTTTTGCATAGTATATATGTTAAAGTTTGAGATTAGGTCAGTGTTGCTATTTTAATTTCAACACTTGCATTCTGCTGTCAAAATTACATACAGGCAAGTCATATCTCTGTGTCAACAGTTTATTATTGTTATGACTATGTACAAGGATGTTTGTTTCATTCCAACACATTTTGAGTAAAAATGCCTTTAGTCTGTATTATTTTTTTTAGTTTTTCAATTTTTGATGCAGTGGAAGATGAGCACATTTTGTCCTGTTTAATGCTTCCTTTTAATCCCAAGTCCACTTAAAAGTTGATAATACTGAAAATAAGTCAATGTCATTTGCCAGTATTCCTTTTAATATTTCCTTGATCTAAAGAACAAAGAGCATCCTCCAGTTGATCTTATGACTTGTTTAGGTCAGAAAGTGATGAAGGTGATCGTCTACTAATGACATGATGTTAGATGTTGTTTACAATTAACGGAAGTCTCGTGTGATGCCAGATGTGTCTTAACTTGAAGCTATTGTTGTAGTAATGAGGACACAGTAAGAGAAGAGACACACACTTTGATGTTCGACCTGATTTCTAGTACTGTGACCTTTACTTTTCCTTGGATTGCACTGCAGTTCATGTCGTCCCTAGACAAAACATAACTCTGATATTTCCTTTGGTCTTGTTTTTTTTTTGTACTAGTAACCTGAAAAAAGCCTAATGGTAGTAAAGAGAACATTATTGTTTATTTTGTCTTGGTATTAATTTTCATTAGTCTTATATCTGTTATAAAATGTCATATGAAACTTTATGGCATCATTATATTTGACCTGAAATCTTATTGCTTTATGTAAGGTTACTGTAATTAAGTGCTTTTCAACTTTTTTGAGATATAAAATTGATCATGGAAAAAAAAATAATACTTCAAATCTGAAATTTTTGCATGCATTTATCATTGCGATTGATAAACAATGTACAAAAATACTAATAAATTATTGATTATTGAAATTCTGCATGCAAATAATGATATCAAAAATGTGAGCTTTAATTTTGTAACACTTATCCCATCTCAATTTTCGCAACAATAAAATTTCTGATTTGATAGTAATAAAATAGAAAAAAAAGGTTATGGTTAGATGACCATGTATCAAAGGAACAATACCCTTTTTTCTTTCTCTATCTTGACAATTGCTATAAGAAGTTATGGCACATGGCTGGTTTTTTTTTACACAACTCTTAATTGACTAGGATTGTCAGTTTTCCTGCAGAAGGTTGTGATTTCTTGGGTTACTCCATCTTCCTTCACCAATAAAAGTTGACTGCAACAATATAGCCAATAGTGCTGAAAGTGGCATAAAACACCAACCATCAATCATAGAGTAGGATGATTTAAAGGAATAAAATTGTAAATGGAAGGTCCAAAAATGACACATTTAGTTTGCTTTAAAAAGTTGAGGAAGTCCATTTGAATACCATGTCTACAGCAAGCTTTCTGAAGTTAATTCCAGCCATCTTTGAAAAGACTGATCATGTTCCATATACCGGTATATACAGGGTCACTTGACGCATATGTCATGGTTCAGTGACTTTGATATGGTAATCGTGCTTCATTTGTTATATTAAGTATTGTCTTACTAAATGAGTTATAATAACATTACTGTGTTTAAGGATAGATCTAGGGAGAATATATCACAGTCCCAGAAAAATTAAGGTCACTCTTACTTACACTTCATTGAGTTTTATAAAGTTTAACATTCAAGGTCAGATCTCACATACTTGATGACCTTCAATCATGTAACCTTGTTAAAGGCTTCATTTAAGGGAGTAAAGCATCTTATTGATAGGTTACTCTGATATATATATATATGTTGTGTTATGTTACTGTCATGAAAGGATGCATCAAGCAGAATATAACAACCATTTACAAAAATATGTCAATCTAAATTTTCATTGATTTTGATTAAGTTTTATATATAAAAGTTCAGATCTCAGAAACTAAATGATCTACACTCATAAGATGCAATCTGGAAAGGAAGACAACCTTCTGTGAAAAGTAGGTCTGTCTGTTTTAGTTTCTTTTGAAAAGTAGGTCCTTCGTACTTTAAATTTACACTATTCTGATATTTATTAAGTTTATACAATATTTTTTTAGGGACTTGATGACTGTTGTTTTGGTTCTTTTCTTTTTGAAGTTAAATTTCAATTTGATTGCTATGAAATTTCAAAAAGGGTCAGATGTGAGAGACTTGCAAAAATTCATAGAAGGAGCAGATATGGGTCCAAATAGTAACTAGTGTTGCGTGAAAATGAATAAATATTTGTTTTTGTAGAAAAGACTATTTTTATTATTGTTGAGGGCTAAATTTAGCCCATATTCTGCCACTCTTATTAATTTAAGCTGATAAAGTGCCAATTGCTTCTAAGAGCTTCTAGTTTATTTTACTTCAATTAAGTTTTGCATCTGTCAAACGAGAAGTTGTCTTATTATATGTTCAGAAATTTGTCATTAGATAATTGTATGATCTGTAACCTGTCATTGTTCATCTAAGTACTAATGCTGGACACATTCTATATTAATGATTGGCACTTGACAACAGAAGTCATTGTTAATTTGCTTACTAGAAAATGAAATTATACAGAACAGAAATAATAAGTAATTGTTTTAAAAAGATAAACAGAATTGCCTAAAAGTTGGACACCACAGCAGTTTCTGCCAATAACATTTAAACACTATTACTCAGCATGAAAACTCACTATTAGCAGAGAACATTGTTTAAGGCTCACAAACAGCAAAAAACAACTTAAAAGGCTTGCAAACAGTTTCTGTGCAATAAAGTATGAACCTTTCAACTAATGCTCTTAAAATTTAATATGCTGTTACTGATGACAAAATGGTGGTCAAGTTTGATATGAACAAATTTCATTTCTGCCATTCAGGAGTTATGGTCCTTGATAGATTGGAAAATGTGCACTAAATGGCATTATCATGCAATTACATATGAACCGTTCAGCCAATGTTCTTAAAATTTTAATATACTGTTACTGATGACAAAATGTGGTCAAGTATGATATTGATGATTTTCATTTTTGTTGTAATGGTCCTTGATAGATTGAAAAAAGGCATGGGAGGTGGCTTGTCAAAAAAGCCTGAAAGTGCTTTACAAAATACAGAAAATCCAGTTTGCTGTCAATTTGACAGCTCATTCCTTGTTTTCAGATGTAATCAGATAGGTATGTAAGTCATTTCATTGTGGCATCTTGTACTTGGATAAATTTTTTGAAAAGTAATGATTTATAACAAGTTTACTCATTAGAAGTTGACAAGGCACTGAATAAACTCATATTATTCCTGACAGTGAGAAAACTTGCACTGAGCAAACTCAAAAATAATTATCCTTTTTTGAAGAATTTATATCAAACATACTTGATAAAAGTAATATACCGTTATAAAAATGACAAAATAAAAGGAAATCTACTTGATAGAAAGAGTTCTTTGAAATCCTTCAGCTGCAGGTCATTGCTGATTGTCATTTTCATAAGGAAGCCTCATACATCCTTTCTTTTAATGGAAAACAGTCTTATTAATGGACAGTTAACTAAATGTTTGGAATCTTGTTTGAAATGAAGACAGATAATGAATGTCATATAATTTGGTCATTTCGCTAAGGGCAATGGATGAATTTGGTGCATTGTTTGAATGTACTTCAGCTTGAAAAAATGACGATTCCTGTAGATGCTGAGCACTTCAGTTTAGATAAGTAACCTTAACATCAGAATTAATTAATGCAATTCTTGGCATCTGTTGATAATGGAATTTAGAATGATGATGTTTATTTAATGAATATGGCTAGAAAATTAGTACAAGAAATATAAATTTTCCAATGTATGTCCACTTTCTGTCCATTTATCATATTTGATATATTTCTTGAAAAAATTCCTTACCGAATAAACCCATAGAGAAGTATCTGAACTTTATTTTTCACCTTGGACTAGAAAATGGTGCAGAATCCTGGAATTTGAGGTTAAAGGTAAAAAATTTCAAAAGTTTGTATCAATTTCTATTTAAGGATTAAAGAAATAGGAAATTAGATTAAAGATTTTATAGAAATATTCCCTGCAAGTTTCATTCAAAGTGTTTA